ATTGTAATTAGTTAAACCAGTAATTTTTTACCTTGCTTATTAATGGAGATCTGGTTAAAAATAAGTCATAGATGATTTGCTTGGCTTTTGGTTTTAAGTGTTTTAATGCAAATTTCTAAGAATATGCTAATATTTAGTTTCATCTTAAAGATTTAGAATCTTTATTTTATTTTTGTTATTTTATTTTATTTTATTATTTTGAAATAGGTATACAGAAATAGGTATATTAAATAATATATAATAGGAATAATAGGTATGCAGCAGTGTTTTAATATATTACATATACCTGTTATATACATTAACATACACATAAACATATATACATATATATAAAGTCAACATTTTGAGTACAGTTCAAAATTTCTATGTCTCTTCTATATCAACTACATTTTCTTTCCCCAAGAGTCTCTATGCCCAATGTGGGGCTTGAACTCAAGTCCTTAAGATCCAGTCACATACTCTACCAACTGAGCCAGCCAGGCACCCCTCAACTACTACATTTTTTTATTTTAACATTTGACCCCCCCTTCACCCATTTCTCTTACTTCCCACCTCTAGCAATCACCAATTTCTTTTCTGTATCCATGAGCTTATTTTGTTATTTGTTATTATTTTAAGATTCTGTATAAGAAATCATACTGTAGGGTGGCCTGGGTGGCTCAGTTGGTTAAGTTAACTGCCTTCAGCTCAGACCATGATCCTGGAGTTCCAGGATTGAGTCCCACATCTGGCTCCCAGCTCCTCGGGGAGTCTGCTTCTCCCTCTAACCTTCTACCCATTCACGCTTTCTCTCACTGTCTCTCTCTCAAATAAATAAATAAAATCTTAAAGAACAAAAAAGAAATCATACTGTATTTGTCATTCTCTGACTTATTTCCCTTAGCCTAATCACCTCAAGATCCACCCATGTTGTCTCAAATGGCAAGATTTTATTTTTTTATGGCTGAATAATAATATCCTAGTATATAAAATATACCATATTTCATATCTTCATGATTTCTTTATCCATTAATCCATTGGTGGACACTTAGGTTGTTTCTACATCTTAGCTATTGCAAATAATGGTGTAGTGAACATGGGAGTCTTTCTGGGTTAATGTTCTTGTCTTCTTTGGATACATATGCAGAAGTGGAATTACTGGATCATATGGTAGTTCTGTTTTTAATATTTTGAAGAACATCATACTATTTGCCACAGTAGCCACACTGATTTACCTCCCATCAACAGTGCACAATAGTTTCCTTTTCTCCACATCCTTGCCAACTCTTGTTATTTCCTGTATTTTTATAATACCCATTCCAACAGGTGTGAAATGACATCTCATTGGGTTTTGATTTGCATTTCCTATGATTAATGACATTAAGTATCTTTTCAAGCATGTCCTTTTGGGAAAATGTTTATTCAGATCTTCTGCCTATTTTTTATACATTTTTAAAAACTTTTATTTATTTGAGATATGGGGTCAGGGGCAGAGGGAGAGGAAGAGACAGAATCTCAAACAGACCCCTCACTGAGCAGATCTGATATGGGGCTCAATCCCAGGAACCCAAGATCATGACCTGAGCCCAAATCAAGAGTTGGACATTTAGGGGCGCCTGGGTGGCTCAGTGGTTTAAGCCGCTGCCTTCGGCTCAGGTCATGATCTCAGGGTCCTGGGATCAAGTCCCACATCGGGCTCTCTGCTCAGCAGGGAGCCTGCTTCCCTCCCTCTCTCTGCCTGCCTCTCTGTCTACTTGTGATCTCTCTCTGTCAAATAAATAAATAAAATCTTTAAAAAAAAAAAAGAGTTGGACATTTAACCGACTGAGGCACTCAGGCACCCCATACTACCTATTTTTAAATTGGATTGTTTGCTTGTTTGCTATTTTGTTCTATGAGTTCTTAATATATTTTGGATATTAGCTCTTCTCACATACTTAATTTGCAAATATTTTCTCCCATTCAGTAGGCTGACTTTCTATTTCATTGATGGTTTCCCATGCTTTGCAGATTTTAATATGATGTAGTCACATTTATCTATTTTTGCTTTTGGTATTATATTAAAAAAAAATATTGCCAAGGGGCACCTGGGTGGCTCAGTGGGTTAAGCATATGCCTTCAGCTCAGGTCATGATCCCAGGGTCCTGGGACTGAGCCCCACTTTGGGCTCCCTGATCAGTGGGGTGTCTGCTTCTCCCAATTCCTCTGCTCCCATCCCTCCCCTTCATCTCGTGCTCTTTCACACACACTCTCTCTCTCACATAAATAAATAAAATCTTTTTAAAAAATATTGCCAAGATCTATGTCAGGGAGCTTACTGCCTATGTTTTTTCCTATGAGTTTTATGGTTTCAGGTCTTACATTTAAGTCTTTAATCCATTTTGAGTTAATTTTGGTGTATGGTGTAAAATAGTGGTAGAATTTCATTCATTCTTTCATATGTAGCTGTCCAGTTTTCTAACACCATTTATTGAAGAGACCATCCTTTGCTCATTATGTATTTTTTACTCCTTTGTTGTAAATTTGTTGGCTTGGGTTTATTCCCAGGCTCTCTATTTTGTTCCATTGGTCTTATGGGTCTGTTTTTATACCAATACCATATTATTTTAAATATAATATAGTAAATGTTATATACTTTAAAATCAGGGTGCATCCTTTCAGCTTTGTTCTTTCTCAAGATTGCTTTGGCTATTTAGGGGTTTTCATGGTTCCATACAAATTTTAGGATTATTTGTTCTATTTCTTTGAGAAATGCCATTTAAACTTTGATATGGATTGCACTGAAACTGTAGATTGCTTTGGGTAGTAAGAACGTTTTAATAATATTGATTTTTCCAGTCTATGAGCCCAAAATATCTTTCTATTTGTGTCCTTTTCAATTTCTTTCATTATTGTCTTAAGTAGTTTTCAATATACAGATCTTTCAGGACGCCTGGGTGGCTCAGTTGGTTAAGCAGCTGCCTTCGGCTCGGGTCATGATCCCATCATCCTGGGATCGAGTCCCACATCGGGCTCCTTGCTCAGCAGGGAGCCAGCTTCTCCCTCTGCCTCCGTCTGCCAGTGCTCGCTCTCTCTCTCTCTGACAAATAAATAAATAAAATCTTTAAAAAAACAAAAACAAAACAAAATACAGATCTTTCACCTCCTTGGTTTAATTTATTCATAGGTATTTTATTCCTTTTGATGCAACTGTAAATGGGATTCTTTTATTTCTCTGTAAGTTTATTATTAGTGTTGAGAACAGATTTTTGTGTATTGATTTTGTATTCTATAACTTTATTGAGTTCATATATTAGTTCTCACAGATTTTAAACTAAAATAGTAACTTTGCTTTTTGGCCTATGTTTATATTTTGTGTGACCTGGTATTTCTTGAAAATTCATCAGTTTTGATTCACTCTTTTTCCAACAATACTTCACAAAATCAGACTAGGAACAAATGCTTAATTACAATTTGATTCAGCAAAAAAGATGCTCACAACACTGTCAAAGAAGTGTAGTTCAAACAAACAAACAAACAATAGTTCAGACATGAATGTTGGTTGATATTTTCACCTAAGTTAACCAGTAAGACAGAAATAAAATAGCAAAGAGGTATGTTGGAACTTCACTCATTTATCAAAGACATTAGCAACTTCTTTGCTGAATTGGACAACAGTTTCTGAATGCTGAAAGAACACTTCCTCAATTTTTTGTGCTGTTCACAAAGTCAAGGCCAGGAATATGATACACTATTAAGTTTAATTCTGCATTATCAACATTCTCTCTATCAGCCTGACTGTTTTGTAAATAAAGCTTTACTGAAACATGGCCACACTCATTTTTAATGTAAGAGTTGAGTAGTTGCGACAAAGACCATATGTACTAGAAAGCCTAAAACATTTACTATTTGTTTACAGAAAAAGTTGCAGGTATTTGGGCCTGGAAAATCAACAAAACAATAAACTAAGCCGTTATTTGTAGCATTTGCCAACTTCCATGATGTAAATGTTCCTATTGCAGCCAATTTCAAACTACAAATATGAACTCTCTGACCAGAGTTGGGAAAAGATGTATATATTCCCACCATACAGATAAAATACACACCCTCAGGGGCAGAGTTCTAAGTAAAACTAAGTTTTTAAAAAAAAAAGTTATGAGTTTTGAGTATTTATCTGATTTTAACATATTTAATTGTAAATTTATACAATTTGATTTTATAACAGTGGTTATGTTTAACAACTGGCTCATAAAATTCCCCCAAATTTAGGAATCAGCTTTGAAAACTGGTAAAAGTCAGCCGTGAGGTACTACTAGTTCTATGTTCAAAAGGTCACTAAGGGAGAATTTTGGGAGTAATTTGCCTCTTTGGTTAAGTGGCTATGACAAGATTCAAAGGTAGGTCTAAATGATCCAGATTAGGCTTCTTAGCCTTCTTGGTGAAGAATAAGGGCCCTTATTTGGCTTGAGTTTTTACAAATTGAGCATGTGTTTGTGACATCTATTGTGGAAACTAAGCCTGCAGGGGAATGTATTTTCTGGAGTACAATCCTATAGTGATACTCTTTTACATTTCCACGCTTCCTGCCAGTTTTGCTAGTCTTGATGCTTTGTACCTATCCAGAAATCAGTCTAGGCTGCATATCTGAAGGAAGAAGGAAATGGATTGGTCTATCCATCTGTTGTTGGAAATTTCTCTTATTAAATATATTCCTTAACAGCTTCAGGAAGTGTAAGTATAGGCATTTAGTACCACAAGCCCCTTGGAGTACTCGTCAAGCTATATGAATTCCAAAAGCCTTCAGAAAACTTGTGTTCCGAAACCTTACCTTACGTGCGGTGCAGGAAAAGGAAGGACACTATCAGAGGGTACTCAACGCTGCTCACGGAACTGGAGCAAGAACTTGGGGACGGGAATGCCAACTGGTAGGCCTCCTGACGTACTCAATTTTTCACACAGCTCCAATTCTAAGTGTACAATAATAACGGTTAGAGCTGTTGGAGAACTAGATCCGCCCTGTCCAACCACTTAATTTTTACAAGAAAACACAGCCCTAGTGAGGTAAAGCGACTTGATGAAAGTCAGGCGGTACAGTCAGGGCTCATTTGTAGCTCTTTCCACTATACCACACGGCCTCCTCCAAATAACCCTCTCTGCACAAAACTTACCCCGAAAGCACCAGGAACCTGGTTGGGGACTGACCTACAGTTGAACCTAGGTCAAACTGCCCAGTCGTTACTGAGTCAAACTGCAGAAACTCTGGGTCAGAGTTAAGGCCAAAGCATAGAAGCACAATAAAGGAGCGTGACTCCCTCACAGAGAAGCCCGGAGCTTTAGAGGCAGCCCTTGGAAAAGCAGCCACGCCTCTCACGACGCTAAACGCTGCGCGCAGCGGAGCATCCCGAGCAGCCGGGAACGCAGGGTACGCAGCCGGTGGCGCGCACGCCCGCCCAGAGGCCGCACGGGAGGCCGGCGGGCGTGCGCGCCCCCGCAGCGGGGGGCGGGGCGGGGCGGGGCGGGGCTCTGAGCCGGACCGGGGCGGGGCCGCAGGAGCTGTAGGTGTTGCAGCTGGGTCGCGACAGGTGCGCGAGGCAGAGCTCCTGGGACCTGTGGCAGGGCTGGTAGCAGCACGGAGGAAAGACCGATTTTAGCCAGGTAAGCTCTTTCTCTCTCCACATCCTCTATAACCGGGGAGTGCGCGAGACCCCGGCTTCCCTCCACAGTCCGACTTCTGGGGCAGGGGGAGCACAAGGAGCGTGAACCGCCTCCTCTTCCCCCGGAGAGAAAGAGTGGAGGAACCACTGATCATCTGCTCTTTCCTCACTTCTGGGTACTTCGCTGGGCTTGGGAGTAATTATGTAGGGCCGAACCTTTGCTGCTTGAGAGCGGGAGCTGATGGGACCACCTCTTCCATCGGAAACACTCCTTTCTAACTATATACATTTTTGGTGTAGTGGAGGAAGGCGACATAAAATTCAAAACAGTCTCCTAGGGAAGTATTCTGATATTCAGCTGCTCTTTTCCCATCTTCATTTAAAGCCATTCCCTCCCTCTTCGATTTCCCACCTTCCAATATGCCAACTGAACTCTAAGACACTTACAGCCCTTTAAGGCATGTTGAGAATATAGCTGTCCTTGCAGCTGGGTGTGTCATCCTCGAATCACTATCGTGTATATATCACTGGCACCTGTCACCAACATACGTAGGTGTTAATATAAGGTAACTGTATACCCGTGGCTGCACCTACTAAGGTTGAGGTGTAGGTGCTAGGAGCCAACCATCTGGCGTCCTTCCTTGCCTTCTTACTGGTGCTTACAACAACGAGTTTAGCTGATCCTGGTAAGAGATATTTGAACTACTATTGTCTTTCACCTAATTCCAGCTTTCAAAAGTCTGCCTAATCCAGATGGTTCTACTGACTTGGCCTGTCGAGTTAGTCCAAAGTACTTAGAGAGTTATCAGCCTTAACACAATACCTCTTTAGGGGAGAGGTCGTTTGCATTAAATATTCTTTCTTTTGCTGTTGATTTAAGTGATTAAACAGAATACTTTTTATCCACATGGTTACTAATACTATTCACAAATGATAAATATTTTAGGAACCATAAGATACCACTTTGTTCTGAGGTCTGATGGAGACACAAAAGAAGATGACCCTCAACAAGCATTTTCTAAGTTTCTGTGGAGTTATAGCCTGGATGAAGGATGATTCTGTCTTAGGTAGACCTTCAAAAAGTTATCTAATTAGCAGGAAAGAAGGTTAAAAAAAAGTTTTGCATGCACATATATTTTCTTGTTTTGAATTGACAGAACAGTACATAACATGGTATTAGGTAATTACTTTAGGAACATATTTCATTTTTTTGGACAAAGCATTTATTGAGTACCTCTTGTTTTGTCAGTCCTATTATGGATTGAAAGTTCTGAACATCCCTACTCTAAAAAAGATTAGTTAAAATCAAATGGGTTAGGGGCACCTGGGTGGCTCAGTGGGTAAAGCCTCTGCTTTCGGCTCGGGTCAGGATCCCAGGATCTGGAATCGAGCCCCACATCGGGCTCTCTGCTAGGCAGGGAGCCTGCTTCCTCCTCTCTCTCTCTCTCTCTGCCTGCCTCTCTGTCTGCTTGTCATCTCTGTCTGTCAAATAAACAAATAAAATCTTAAAAACAAATAAAATAAAATAAAATGGGTTAGACAAAATCAGCAGCTACAACTTACAAGTTTGGTGAGATCAGTGCTGTACTAGACATCAGCCCAGAGTGCTGTAGAAGCATAGAAAATACAGTTTTAAAAAATGTCCCTCTTTGGAGTGCCTGGTTGGCTCAGTTGGTTGAGCCCCCAACTCTTGATCTCTGCCGTGGTCTTGCTCTCAGGGTCGGGTTTGGGCCCCACACTGGGCTCGGTACTGGGCATAGAGCCTACTTAAAAAAAAAAAAAAAGAGGAACTTTTCTTCTACTTTTCCTTAATAGTAAAACAAAATAAACAACAATAACAAAAAACTTTGAGTAATAGTGAATTATTTTCTTCATATATTTGTATTGCTCATACTCCTTACGGGGTGTTTTGCCAATGGTATGGCCTTTTGAAGGTGGAATAAGGACCTGTCCCTAATTCTGTGTCAGTTCAGTAAATAGTTGGTGGAGCTGTTTTTCACTGTTCTGTATTGGGCCTCCAAGTTGTTATCATGTAGTTCCTGAACTGTAAAGCTTCTGAGAATAGAATAGTGTATTGGCAACATTAGGAAAACAGTGCCATTTTATAAAATTGCTTCATTGTGCAACTTTGTTTAACTTGGTACATTCAAGTTTTGTTCCAGATTCTGGTTAAAGGTGGACTAACTTTAAATCTTCTAATAATTCTAAGAAGAGAAAGCTTTAGAAGTGAAAACAGTTCTTTAACAGTCCATCTTGATGGCAGAGGATACTTTTTCTTGCTAAGGTGCCTTCAAAATGTCTCTTTCTTTTTTTCGAAGAGGGAACAGGATGGGTAAATGAGTGAAGGAGGAAGGGGTCAGAAGTGTTTAAAAGATTCTTTGCAGTTTTGATGATCTGAAGTCTATGGTAGTCTAAAGCACTCTTCATGTAACTGCAGGTTTTTATTAATTGCCTACTGTGTGCCAGTGATCCAGTATATAGAGGATGAACATGACACAGTCCCTTCTATGTGATGATGGTTTTCATTTTTCTTATTTGTTTGCTTGTTTGTTTATGCATAGGCTCCATGCCCAGCATGAAGCCCAGTGCCGGGCTCAAATTCACAACCCTGAGATCAAGACCTGAGCTGAGACCAAGAGTCAGACTCTCAACTGACTAAGCCACTTAGATGCCCCTGTTTTTCATTGTTTAAATGGAGATTCTGAGTTAATAAAACAGATGGTGGTCATCTGATTTGGTGATGTGAGCCATGGTACTTGATGAACACATTTCTTTGACATTACTTACCTCTTTTCTTTCTGTTTGCATCTTAGGAAAGTGGTCTCCACTGGAAATTTTTGGAAAGGCAGTCAGTATTTGCATGTATTTGGGTATCTATAATGATTATGTTGTTTCCTTAAATGTTTTCAAGTACAATTTTAGTGATTGTTCTTCTTAGGGTTTCAAATTTGTGACTTTCCTCTGATATTTTTCAACAATCAACTATAATTAACCTAGGGCTTCTGTACCAGAAAGGTTTATCAAAGACATATACACCCAGACACAAAAGAAGGTTCAGAGTATAGGAGATCATTAGGCATCTTTGCCAAAAAAGGCCACAAATTGGGAGAATTTGTCCTTGTTTATGTTGACAATGAAACTAGTTTTCAGGAGTTCTTAATTCTGTACTCTCAGAAATAGGTGAGTTTTATTTAGATTGGAATTGTACTCTTTCTGCAGACAGGCAAATTTGTGACTTGTCAGGAATTTCCGTAAGAAAAGATTTATTTTTTCTTAAGGTTACTATGGTCTTTCACTGTGTTTTGTGATAGGAAGTTAAAGTACTTTACTTTGGATTGTGTACAGTAATCTTCAGGTGATGTTAAATTACTTAACACAGACTCTCAAGGTTCTTTAGTAACAAATGAATGGTTGTAAATCGAGTAGTTTCTTACTTAATGATTGTGGAATTGAGATTCTATGGTAAATGGTACTCTTGGTAGGAACATACTGCTATGTTTATTGTGTGGCTGGATGCAAAGTCCCTGAGGCTCAAATTATTGTGCAAAAGCAGATCTCTTTTTATTAAAAGGACAAGATTTGACCCAAAAGCAATCCATTATTTAGCATGTCAAATGATTTCTTTATACTTGGAAATGTTTCTAGAGACTTCACATGTGCAGTCATGAGAAGTTACCAAGATACTATAGTATATTACATTCATTTTATTTTCTTTTTAAAAATGTCTTCATAATGCTACAATGAAACTAAGAACTTACATCTTTAAGAGGAAAAAAAAGCAAACTTTTTGTGTTCTTTTAAAAGACTTGATTTTTAAGTAATCTCTCCACTGAACCTGGGGCTCAAATTCATGACCCTGAGATCAAGCTTTGCATGCCCTACCAACTGATCCAGCCAGAAGCCCCCCACCCTTTTAGAAAGATTTACTTTTTGTACTTCTGATGACAGGTGTGGAACTATTTTTTTCTCTTATTTATCCTATAACAGAGCTTACTATATGAAAAACTTTACAATCCCTCAAACATGGTTTTTCATGCCAGTTTTTGGTTCATTACCCATAGATTAGTAATCCTGATATACTTTTACTTGGTTTTAGATTTCCACAATCTTTTTTCCCCCCATAAACTGAAATTTAAGCAAATGGCCCAGGACTTCTTTTCCTCATAGTCAGTTTCACTGAATAGATAAATTTCAGATTTGGCTTCCACCTCCAGCACTGGAGGAAACCTGTCTGCTCTTACATCGTACCCAGTGATTTCCCTGTAAGGATCCTGTCACTGCCCTCCTTCTAACCACTTGGCAACATTTGACAAAGTGAGCAACTGTTTTGGTTCTTTCTTTTATTTGACTTTCTCAGCATGACTTTACCTGGTTGTCCATCTTCTAATCTAACACTCCCCACCGCCATGTCCCTTCACTAACTCATAGTCTTTTTGACCCCAAGTGTGGGTGTGTGCCATGGTCCAGCATCCTGCTCTTATTATACTCTTTCCCTGTGCAGTCTGATCTATTTCCATGGCTTCAACTAACATCTCCATGTGACTGATTTGCAGATTATTTTTTAAACCTCTTTTCTCATTATATAGATAATTCTTGTTTTATTTTCACATATACAAACAT